GGTATTCTAAACTGTATATTTTTACGCATTAAAAAGTGTTTTTATAATTTGTAAATGACTTTAACTGTTTCTTTGAATAATACCGGTTTTATAGTTGTGTTGCCATGGAAACTGCTTATTACATGACTATTAAAGCTGCCAGTCTGGAAATGCTATCATATCAAAATATTATGTATAGATGTAGGACATTTCAAAATGCATAAGTAGATCTTGCCACCTTGAGTGGTACCAATCACTCAAATTTCTGGTCTTGGCCCATGGACTATTAAGGTTCCTTTGCACCCACGTGTACGCCTCACACACTTCCAAAGAATGGACACCTTGCCCTCAAATACTTTCGTGTACATATGCCCCTCATTATATGACCTTCATTCCACCCTTATTTGATGCAATTACCTCCATCGCATGTCGTTTGTCCTTTTTGATATCTATACGTTCATGTCGAGAGAATAATTGATGCCCATTGCTGTTCTCCCAGACTATTTATACCTCAATAGTAATCCGCAATCAACTTTTTTGCGCATCATTATATAAATAACGATGTAACTTAAACCGAACCTCTGCAAAGCGCGCGCTTCTCTGGAATGTGATGGTGCGGTTGACATTTAAAGATAAAGTTGAGTTCTGGTCTTGCGATTGCATTATGAAAGAAACGGTGTGGAAGCAATCAGAAAAGGTTGATCATCTAGCATAAACATGTAAGTATTGGTGTGTAGTGCAAGGTTTTGGAGTCATCAAAATGATAAAAACTTTGACCCAGTCTTGGTAGTAACAAGCACTGTACACAGAAAGATATTGATATGGGACTAACAAACATATGGCAATCAAATCGGGCCTCATTTTAAAGCTGTTACTTGTCATATCTGGGATATGAAGTCATTTGAAATAGATTTTCAGGGAATAACTTTTTTCTTTGATGTTCTTCCACACTTGCATAATAAGAATGATAACAAACGCTGACAAATTATTGTTCACCTTTCCCCAGAACTCAACTTTCTCTTTAATTGATGGAACATGGGCGGCTTTCTGCTTTGTATCGGAGTAACAAAGCTGCTTATTGATGTTCTCCCAGACTATTTTATACCACAATAGTAATCGACAATATTTTATTGCAACGCGCGCACTTCGGGAATGTGATGGCTTAGCATTGATAACATGGCTTCCTGCTTTGTTTCAGAGTATCAAAATACCAAGCCCACAAGAAAGTGGAATTGTCGGAAATATGCATTTATTGGAAATTACATATAATAGTAGTCATTGCCACGCAGTTAAAATGTCCAGCAATCTTCAAAAGTGAAGGAGAAGTGGGGGGGGCGAGGTTCATAGATATCTGATCCTATTCTGGGGGCTGTACTGACTTTTCTTTTTATTTAATAATTACACCATGGAGCGACAACTCAGCCTATAAAACATGGCTAAACTTCTCGATTATAGAAATCTTTTTTCCCAGAATTTTGCTCAGTGTACCAGTACCATTTGCTTTTACAAAAGCATACCGGTATATAAATATTGAATAAGGCAGACTAATGGGACATGCATGGTTGCTACTCCGAGTTTCACGCCTTGCAAGCGATCATCAGACAACTGATAGCATTCTTCAAAGTACATGATTCCTCCTTTTGCGTTTCATCAAAATATAGAGAAAGGAAAATGATTCGTTGTAGTGTTCTCGACTCTTAATCCTTATCTGAATTCAGTCCCCCCCCCCCCCCCCCCCCCCCCCCCTCTGCGCGAATCGCGGAAGCTTTAAAGTTTCCTCAAATTATTAGAAAAAGAAATCGATTCGTTGTACCGTTCTCGACTCGTCTAAATGAAGTTTTTCCCACCCGCGCGAAGCGCTGAAATTTTGGCGTTTCATCAAATTATAGAGAAAGGAAGACGATTTGTCGTTCCGTTGTTGACTCTTAATCCTGGTTTGAATTAGTTTCCCCGAAAATTTTAAACCTCTGATTTCTTTAGCTGTTATTATAGGAAAGTGAAACTTCGAGAAAATACAAGTATTGTAGTTGTAGTTTAGTCACTCTCGAAGTCGTCACAGCGGATAAAAAGTCACAGTTCGTAGGGGAAAAAACTTGTCGGCTGACCGACAATATACATCTCACCGACTTCAAACTTCTGCATTGATATAGTACACGAGGATCGAGCAAGAATACCGACACAGCTGACCCGACACAGCAACATATTTACCCATTTCTTTCTTGCTTCCTTGACGAGACGACTCCACCCACAACCCCCCCTTTCTTTTACTCCCACTCCTCCTTTCTCAGGCTCTTACCTCCCCCCTCTCTCCTCCCTTCACCCCCCCCCCCCCCGTTTCTTTTGTTTCCCTTTTCTTCTTTTTTCTTTTTTTCCTTTTCTTCCTTTTCTTTCTTTTCCATTCTTTCCTCTTCTCCCTCTTTTTCTTTTTTCTCTTTCTTTCCTTTCTCTTTCTTTTCCTTTCTTTCTTTTCTTTTCCTTTTCTTTTTTCTTTTCTTTCCCTTTCCCTCTTTTTCCCCTCCGCCTTTTCTCTTTTTTCCCGACGGCAGCGCAATTTTACCGACAATATCCTGACAGGTGGAGGGGTGTCGTACCCCCACACCCCCCCCCCCCCTTGGCGACGCCCCTGGTTATAGGATAATCATGTACTTTTAAGAATGCTATCAATTGCCTGAAGATTGCTTGCAAGGCGCGAAACTCGGAGTAGAAACCATGTCCCATTAGTCTGCCTGCTCTGCCTAGGCATTGACCACTGTTCGGAAGGATATATAGCAAAGCATAATATAAGAGGAAGGGGGCGAGCAGCCGGGTCACCGTGCCCCAGAAGAAGAATACCCTCCCCTCCCCCCCCCCCCTTCCCCGTCTTCCTTCGGCAATAATCGGGCAAAAAGTCACAATTTGGGGCCGAAAGGTAAATAAATTTAAACTGGGAAAGTGGAAAATAAAGCAGCGGTGAAATAATAACTGCAGAATATCCCTCGCTGTTCTTTTTCGATAAGCCTAATATATAACCCGGGTGTAACCATAACAAACTTGCCACACGATTTTGTTTTTATTTTATACCTCTAACATTAATACCTCTGACGCTTTTTCCTCTGACATTTTTACCTCTGACATTTTTTCCTCTGACATTTTTACCTCTGACATTTTTACCTCTGACATTTTTACCTCTGACATTTTTTCCTCTGACATTTTTTCCTCTGACATTTTTACCTCTGACATTTTTACCTCTGACATTTTTACCTCTGACATTTTTACCTCTGACATTTTTTCTTCTGACATTTTTTCCTCTGACATTTTTTCCTCTGACATTTTTACCTCTGACATTTTTACCTCTGACATTTTTACCTCTGACATTTTTTCCTCTGACATTTTTACCTCTGACATTTTTACCTCTGACATTTTTTCCTCTGACATTTTTACACCGAGCCTATACCTCGGTCCCCAGCTAATTTCTTCTCCTCCTTTCTATTTTCTAATAATCTTTTCTTAATCTCCAATAAGTTGGTGGTTTTTGTCTATTTTTACTGTCTATAAATATCATATATTTTATCAAAATTATGATATGATTTAATAACTGTTCCTTCCCTATGTTAAACTCAACTATCCCTACATGGATACCTTTCCAATTTATATTTGTAATATCTACTAAATTAAATAAATTCCCACACTCTTCCCAAATTGGTTTTACTTTCTCACAAAGACAAAATAAATGCTCGTAAGTTTCTTCATATTTACCACAAAAAGAACATAAATTACTATTAACCATTTTAAATGTATATAAATGTAATTTAGTACATATAATATAATAAAGCATTTTAAATTGAAATTCTCTAAGCTTACCATTCAATGTGCACTTTCTAAGTCTTAAAAATATTAATTGTATATCTTTTCCATGAATATTATAAGTCTGTTCTAAATGTCGTTCTGCATATGATTTTTCTACTCTCTTATTTAATAAAAAAGCGTATATAATTTCTGAAGTTATTTGATCTAACATATATACCTTTTCAAACATAATAATATCCATATCTAATTCCCTATCTATATTTGAGTGAGTATTTTTATTTAAAAATTGTTTCCATGAAGACGGGATGCCAAGAAAAATACGTTGTAGTTTACTTATTTCTAAACTATTTAAACCTTTTCTTTGAAATTCCTCATTAGATTTTATATTACCTTCCTCATCAACAATATGATGCAACTTATAAACATTTTTGTTAAATAATCCCTCATCGAGAGGAACATGACCATCGATAAAAACAAATCTATTATTATAGATAATCTCATTCCTCCTAGAAACACTTTCCTTTAACAAAAATATTCTCGTAGCCATCCAAACATCCAGCATGTCTCTATAAAATGCTGGTAATACTAATTCAGATATACCTACGGTTGCATTATTATAAAATATCAAAATTCCTCCTGCATCTTTAGTTAAATAATTAAAATATTGTTTCCATCCCATGTTTGCATCCCCCGTTAAAAGTGTCTTTACCCACATAATCCTCTGCACTAAAATGAATAAATGAAAGTCTGTTAATCTTAGTCCACCTCTACAATAATCCAAGAACATTACATTTCGCTTTGTTTCATAGCTGACCTTGAGAGGGACCTATACAATAAAAAGAGTTTATTATTTATAATTTCATAACTTTAGACTCGATTTCAACCGGGACAACGATCGATGAATATTGTAGGAATGCATATGCTTCCAATATGTTAATTTGAACCAAATTCATGACCCCATACCAAAACTTTGTAATACCTTTAAATAATAATCTCTCATTAATTTATTGTCTCTTAAGATTGATCTTAAATGAAGAAGATGAAAGAAACAACAAAATCTCGGCCAAATCAACCTTCACCCCTCCCCCTTCCTTCCTCTTCCCTCTCTTACTCACTCTTTGTCTATGGGGGGTGGGTAGCCACATTTTACAGATTTTTTGCTGGAATCGTTCATGGATTAAAAATACAACAATACGATTGTGATTTTTTTTTTTCCCTTTTTTCTTGTTGAACAGAATGTGCAAATACAACATGTCTGACAGGGGATGATGTGCTCTACAAATGGGGACTGGAAAAGGTACGAACGTCTCCTTTTATACTCTCATTGTTTCCCTCTTTCTCATCTTTCTCTCTCTCTCTCTCTCTTCATCTCTTCATCTCTTTCTCCCCCTCTCAAGCTATTCCCTTTGTCTGTTTATTTCCTTTTTCAGCTTTTTTCTAGTTCGCTGCCTGGGCTGTTTCCGTGTCGCGCTCCCGATCGGCTGATAAAATATCACATCCTTAAAGGGGGTGGAGCATGACGAGACTACGTGTCTCTCCCGTGGCCTGACTCGGGTCAATCGCGCTGGCCGTTAATTCAAGTCCATTCGTTTACGTGCAGTTGTCCAAAAGAAGTCGTAGATGGCGTTAACCAATATTTGCCATGCTACACCCCCCTTTAACGCTAAACTGGAGACAGTACTCGTTTTTCACTCTCACCCTCGCAAACGTCGGGTATATTTTCGGGGGTCGCGCGATCTATGCGGGTGTGCTTAAGGGAGGAGGACATAGATGACTGAAGAATAAAAATATATTAAAACGTACAGAATCTGGACTACTCCCCCTCCCCCCCCCCCTCTCTCTCTCTCTCTCTCTCTCTCTCTTTCTCTCTCGTTGTTATTATCAGTATTACTTCTCTTGAATAAAGCCTATGTTACATAATTAAACATCTATCCCTAAAATCCCTGGTACCTGACTTGCATTTATCCCGTATAAGTTAATCCAGTCTCAAAAGTCAAAACGGCGGTTAATTCTTTGTCAGGCAAGCCTCGAGCAAGTTCAAAGGTCGTCACTAATAGCCGTTTCTGTAGAGGTGTGTATGGAAATTTAATCGATTTGTGAACTTGGGTTATGACATGTTTATTTGAGAATTTGCATTGTCGCAGAATATTTACAGTCATCGCTAAAGAAAAAATATATAATGCAATGTTTTTAAAATCGAATGTTTCATCTTCTCTTTTCAGGACGCATTCAAAAAGGATTTCATTCTCATTACGGGGCAACTTGCTGGATATCACATTGTTGCCTTTACCATACTATACTTAAAAATGAAGTTCAAGTGGTCTGGTTAAAATCAGTATAAAATGTCAAATCGTATTATTGACTAGTGCAAATGGAAAAGAGAATACATGTAGATATATTTGCTGCTTTACATGTTACCATGCTGCTTTAATTTGAATGTTCGGTGCTGGAAAAGTAGGCCCTGTATTGTTTTATCGGTAGACAATAAAATCGTGTTAAAATTACTGTAAAATATCGCAATATTTTTTTTATGAAGTTACTGTTAATGCATTTTTAGCGATTATTGGTCATTTTAGTGGTGAAACTGGTACTTTATTGGGATTTCGTTAATTAACTTGCGGGCAATATCATGAACATATTTTTTAATATCATTTTGTAAATAAATTACTATTATCTTGTTATTACTATTGCTATTTGCTAATTTCATGTCGATATGACAGTATTATCGTTGTTTTGGCTGCATAATATATAAGAAATATATGAAGGAATAATATAAATTCAATATAATGTAGACCAATTAAATCCAAAGAACAAATCAAATCAAGTTATTCTTTATTCATACGCAAGGTACCAAATATGTAGGTACGATTGTGTGGGTAAAATCTTCAGCCTCGATTCTATTTGTAAAATCAAAATTTAAATTCGGTACAGAGATGTATTTCTTCATGTACGTTTATTTGTATGTTAACATATCTCATCTTATTAATATTGTACACATAATTAAACTTTAGATATTCCCCATGCGGCCATGAATTGTCTATTTTACTCTTGTAACTTTGTAACATTTTGGGAAGAATTCGCAAAAGAGGAATAAAAAAAACCCAAGCTCTGGGTTTAAACCTCCCTTGAACTAGATTAAGCTTGTATATTGCCCGCTCATCGGCCATGGGGACACACGTGTACGGCACGGAGGATAAATCTAATGCAGGGTATTCCACTGGCACTACTACAGATCAGAGCCATATATACACAGAGTTTGGCCAACCCGGTTTGAGTTGGACACAATCTGCTTACAATGACAGTCCTTGTTCCACAAATAATGTTATAATGTGTTATAATGTTTGAAGAAATTTAGTTTTTATGACAGTTTATCATTTTTTTTTTTTTTAATAACAATTTATATATATATATATATATATATATATATATATGTATTTGCTTATTTATGATTCATTGTCAGAAAAATACGTATTATACTTTATATTATTATTGTAATCGAAAACTGTGTACTTACATGAATGCAGAAGAAAATCAAATCAAATTCAAAATCAAGCACAAAACAAAAGAACATACGCCATGTTGTGACCCAGTGAAAGATGGCCAAACTCTGTATATAGATGGTTCTGCTTCAGATTTATGTACCGTGTGAGTCAAAAAAAGTTTACACCTAGAAAATTGCTAATTATTTAAAAAATCATCTATGAACAATTAATTATTTCACATCTTATGAAAGAGTGTTTTATCCCAATTCATTTTGTATCGTTTTTGTGTGGTATGTGTTCACGCTTAAATGAACAGGAGGCATTGTTTGCGAGAGTGCAAAAATCGACTTGCGCCAAAGTGATGCCCACAGCATGTATTATGTTTGGAAATAATTAACTAACAAACTTTATCATTCAAAATATCCGTCTAATGAGGTTTTTGGTAATATATGTATACACGTATAAATAAATTTACTCAATGATTTTTCTATATGTTGAGACCTTATAATTCTCCAGGTTCAGCGCCCCCCCCCCCCCCAACTCTCCTTCTCTCTCTGTCTCTCTCTCTCTCTCTCTTACTTCGTATCTCTCTGTCTCCATCATATCTCTTTATATATCTCTCTTTCTCTCTTCCCCTCTCTATCATTCTTAGTATCTCTGTGTCTCGCTTTCACTCTCCCCGGCTTTTTCCATCTCAGTTTCATTTTTGCCTTGTTTCTGCCCCTCTATTTAAATAAATGAGCCTGAGACAATAAGTCAAATAGAAGGGGAATGATGAGGAGGGGAGGGAAAACAGACATTGAGAGAGACACAGGAATGTTGGGCAGTGAAAAAGAATGAGAGACTGAAAGATAAAAATTAAAAAAACAAGAATAAAGAGAATGGATGAGACATAAAATCTGGAAAGGGAGCAATATTCAAGAAAGATAGTGAGAGGATTGGGTTTTGTCGTTATAGTGCTTTGTACACGCGAGCAAGCTACTGCTTCGCTGCTTCTTGCATGTTTGCAAGCATTCGTAATAGCAGTTATTGTTCATGACCATTGTACTGTGCCTAATTTTTTGCACGCGCTATTGATAGTACCATCGCGTTAATCCGATTATCTCAAAATAAACTTGGCACTTGGGGATCTGTGCCTTGGCGCAATGGGGATTAGCCCTGTGGCAGGATAAGTCATTTAGAGTTAAACAAGGGAAAGAAAAAGAAGCGAAACAGACATGTAGAAACTAAGATATGAAGAGGTAGAAATTGGAACACAAAGAGAGTGAACAAATAGGAAAGGACAAATGAGGACAGAGAAGGAGAAAGGGTGAGGGGAGCATAGGGAAACGTTTGCTTGTATTTGTCTCATAAAAGAATTTGACCACAAACTGACTCCCACACGGTGTTGAGTGCTCAGGGGTCACAGGCCACTGGCTTCATCGGACAGGTAGTTCCATTATGTGAATGGGTAAATTAACTATTACAAAATGAGGGGACACATAACATTGTACAATAGGGACACACATTGTTTTTATTGTGCAGAACATTCTCTTTTATTGACTTACTTATTGCATGGAACTATAAAACCAAAATGCATTTTGTATTCTAACAATTGGAGTACAAAGAATAATAACAGGTGAATGAAATGCATAAAAACCACAAACACCTGGGGAGGAAGCATTCATAAATTTGAATACATATAGTTGATAAACCACTCCGATGAAACTATAAAACCAAAATGAAATTTGCGTTCTGGCAACTGGAGTACAAAGAATGAAAGCAGGTGTATGAAATGCTTCAACAGCAACACAAACACGTGGGAAACTAGGAAGCATCCATAAATTTGAATAATTTAGTTGATAAACGACTCCGCATGTGGACGTTTGTTGGAGCAGAAAGCAGTGGATTATTAACAACACGAACCCATTTAACAGAATTTCGGAACGTAAATTAAATTTGGCGCGGTTTTGAAAATGCATCTTTCTACCCTGCGATTTTAATGGTACGGTCCAGTAAATTAAAACAGTAAAATGGCTCTTATTTTAAAATTACTCATTAAAATAAAAACCAAAAACTTCAGTGATATCAGAAAAAATGTTTTATCTTACTTATAATTAAAAAAGATGTATAAACATTGAGAAAGTGTCGCATGTTACGATAAAAGACACCGATTTAGCGAAGATGACGTCATTAGTGCGCTTGCATCAGGGAATTCGAGGTCAAAAGGTCAATTCAGACGCTGATAAGTTATTGGTCGAGCCTTTTTGTTTCCTTTATTCCGACAAAATTATACAATCAATCAAAACAAGTTTAATACCAGAAGAAATCTAACGATTAGTATTTTCATTAACCGCTTGCCCCAAAGTCGCTTGGCCACATTGAAACGAGTGAGAGCTTGCGAGAGCGGCCAAGGTGTGATTAAAACTCGCTATTTGCTCTTCTCGAACGGAAAAAGAGACGACATTGTGTTGGATAAATATATTTTTTCCGACAAAGGTACAGACAATTTGCATATGGTCTGTTTATATTATACTTTATGAAATGTTACCCGAGTGACTTCCGGGCGCCCCAATGCTTGAAAGAAACGCACATTAAAGAAAACTTCACTTTTTCGGGGAAAAATGCTTATTTGTTCTATGCACGCAAGTCAGATTGAGCGGATGATACAACGTTTCAATATGGAGAAAGATAAAACGAGAACACCTGAGAAAAACCATTAGGGGAAAGGCTATACTAGTGTCATAATAATCATTACAAAGAGACACAACTTTAACGTAAAATGTTAGAAAAACAGACTCTGGTGATTTGGTGATTTGGTGATTTGAGGTGCTTCATTTAATGTTTCGAGTATTACACGTGATAGTAATTTGTTCTTATGACTTTTAACAATTATCTTACTAAACTGATAAATCAAGAAATTGATTTATCACTAAATAATTAATGTTGAGGAGGGTGTAGTGTAGACTATTAAAACCTTTTCCCTCTTTGATCGAACCAGATGAGATAGTTGCCCTTCATCACGGCGTCGGCCTGCCAGTTCTTTTCGATGCTCCACCTGTATTTGTGAGAAGTCGATAAAAATAACTTTAATCAACACAAGGAACTCTTCTTTATCTTTGTGACCCCCCCCCCCCCCCCTTCCTTTGAACATCACACCGATTTTAACGACAGTCAATATTTTTTCACATTCAAAAGGGATACATTTGCATTGACTTGTCTTATCTGCTTGAAAGGCCTAACAAATGGATAGGTGTGTGTGTGTGTGTGAGCGTATGTGTGTGTGCGTATGTGCGTGTGTGTGTGTGTGTGTGTGTGTGCGTGCGTGTGTGTGTGTGTACAGCGAAAGACTGTCACAGCCATGGACGTGGTGTATGCACTGAAGAGGCAGGGTCGTACATTGTACGGCTTCGGCGGCTAAGAGTAGCAGACCTCTCTCTCTCCTGGCTAGAATAACAAACGGCTCTTTTCAGAGCCACACAAAAAAAAAAAAAAAAAAAAAAAAAAAAAAAGAGAAAAAGAAAAAAAATGTGTGTGTGAAAAATAAAGATGCTTTATTAGGTTTTGTTTGCTTCCTTAGTGAGATAAAACATATTTCCGAAACAGATGCCATGATTATAAATGAATATTGACTTGTTCTTTTAGCTGAATATCCATTCCACTCACTGATGGAATTAATCCAAAGATTTCAAATAGTTTCAAATCGCGTCATAACCACCCCAACAAATCATAATGCCACTATATATTCGCAACCAACAGTGTAGACTATATAATTCCAATAAAAAAGAAGGGGGAAAGGCGGGGGGGCTGGCTCTTCGATCATCCTCCATTTCACATTTTCCCATTTATACATTTAACACACTGCAAGAGGTATTTACGTTTACTGCCACTTTTTGAAAATTTCTATCGAAATTGATGAGGAACAACAACTTTTATTGAGACTACCTCGTTTCCACGAAGTGACGGTTGCATGTCCGAATGTTGGAATTCCTATACTCATTGGGGAAGAGGTGGTAAGGGGGAGGCAATGTACCGCGTCTTCTACAACTGTAGCTGAACTAGTATACAATACACTTTCTTGACTTAAAAGTAATCTTAAAAAATTACACGAAGATTTCTCAAAATAATTAACCAAAATCATCCGAAGGTAATTTCTATAGGCATGTCCATACATTTTGAAATATCTTCATGAAATGTATTATATTATAGGATTTCCCGGCGAAATTCGCGAGTTTATCAATCGATTTAATTTTACTTTGCATTTAAGTTAGCGCAGATCGGCTTTGCCATGCCGATTATCATTCAATTTTCCCGTTTATTGGTATTTAATTTAGGATATTGGTCGAAGGGTTTCATAGATCTGTCATTTAATTTAGAAACTGCTCAACTAGCATTCAAATTAATCGTCACTTGTCGAGGCGTCATTTTTATCATTCGAATTAACACATGTCATTCGTATTCGCATTATGTTTATTCAAGTTAGGAATGTTTGGGGGAAGAAATGCAACACACGTTTACAGTTTTAAAACATGCAATTAAATGCATGATTTGCCATTTGGGTCTTTTCTGTTATTCCATTCATTAATTTTAAGGACAATGCATATGGGTGTAGTCAGACATTAGGTAAAGAAGGGGCGAAATCAAGGGATATGGCATTTCAGCACGAACATGTTCATTTACCCCGGAAAAGTGGGGATACAAAAATACCTACCCCAGACACAATATTGTACCCTTTCTCCATTATAATGAAATTGTAATAAATTTATGATGAAATACAAGACAAACAACTTTCTTACATGAAAATTTACAAAAATATTGAGACCATCATGTCCGTTGATGTAAGTCGTTTTTTTCTTCTTAACAATCAAACTTAAAGGATGATGAATATCAGATGAATCTTAAAGTATATGAAG